AGTGATAAGCCTAGATAGGGCATTTGGGCACCTTTTTAAACTCCCTGCGCGGGTACCAATACAACACCACACTTGGAAAACCGACTCTTACCCGGACTTATGCACAATTAACAATTCATTCACATTTTATTCCATCAACAACCATCCAACATTACCCAATAGTTAAATACAACCCAAGATTCAAAGAAAACAAACAACATTCAAGCCATAATTCATTTACTATGTCAACATCCACATCCTTCATCTATTTTATTTCACAATATTTCATGAATCAAGGAGATTTCCCATTCTATGTGGTGTTTTTAACTCAAGTGGAGAATCTAGGGTTTTTGCCAAATTTGGCGGTTTTTCTCCTCTATTATAGATATGGCTTGTAATAACATTTATATACATGCTTTGAAAAGAGGGAGTAAGAAATCTCAAGCAAGAGTCAAGTAAATGGTTTATTTACGTAAAACATGATATTGATCCAACAATACTCTTCAATTAATTCACAAATCACAACCATACCATGAAATCCCTTCAAAACAAAGAAATACAAAGGTAAAAGTGTCCCTACCTCAAGTTGTAAGGAAGAAAACCCGAAATACCCAAGGTTGACGAAGCCACGAACTTCTCGGACCAATAGAAAGCCCTTGATAAGATCTTCAAGTTATCTCAAAGGATCAAGGTGAGAAAACACCTCTAAGAGTGTAGATCTAAGGATTGAAGTGGAAAAAGTGAGTTTTTGAGAGAGAGAGAGAGACTCTCGGTTTTGAGAAGAAAAAAAGGAGAAAATTATGAGAGAGGTGGGGTTTAGGTCCATTTATAGTATTAGATGATAGCCCTAAGGTCAATGAAAAAGCTAAGCCCAAAAACTCCCAAAAATAGGGCCCATTCGGAGCCTAAAATACTGAAATAGACATGCAAGGGTTGACCCTTTGGGCAAAGGGGTCGACCCTTTAGGTAGGAAGGCAATTTGGCAACAAGGAAGGGGGTTGACCCTTTGACAAGAGAAGGTCGACCCTATTTTCCAGCAACCAACACAGAAATTCTGCAACATAAGAGGGTTGACCCTCCCCAGACTGGTGTCTACCCTATTTTCTAGCTGCACTCCCAGCAACATTACAGCATGCAAGGGTCGACCCTTAGGAAGGCTAGTGTCGACCCAAGGCCAAATTTCTAAGTTTCCAAGGCACTTTTGACAAGAACAAACGCGAACGAACAAACCCAACGAGTTTAAATCGGATTGTACTCCTTTAAAACTAATAGACCACAACTCCAAAGACTCCCAAAACAAAAATAAAGATGTCAAACACACCTTCCAATATATATTAAAACACCCAAGTGTTACAACTTCCCCACCTTAGGAAATTTTGCCCTCGAAATAATATCCATCCTCACCATGATAACAAGGTTTGGCAACAATATCATATTTATTCAATCTTCAACTAACTCATAACCAAGCAAAATATATATCAATTTGACACCAAGACAAGGAAATAACAGAAGGTTTTGACTCATGCCCAATTCATCACGTACAAAAAAGATCAACAAAACAAATAGATCACAATTTACAAAATAAGTCGGGGTATTTCTCACAAATCTCCGCTTAACATTCCCATGTAGCTTCTTCCACACCGTGATGGCACTATAACACTTTAACTAAGGGAATTGTTTTACCCCTCAAAACTTGCTCTCTAGTATCTAAGATTTGGAGTGGTTTTTCTTCATAAGACACATCTTTGTCTATCTCAATCTCCGTCCAATCTAACACGTGAGAGGGATCGGGTTCGTACTTGCGAAGCATAGATACGTGAAATACATTGTGGACCTCGGAGAGTTGTGGTGGCAATACAAGGCGATATGCAACTTCTCCAATTCGCTCAATGATATCAAAGGGGCCAATGAATCTAGGTGATAGCTTTCCACTCCGGCTAAATCTCATTAACCCTTTTCTAGGAGATATCTTCACAAAGACATGGTTGCCAACTTCGAAGGATAAGGGTCGTCTTCTTTTATCTGCGTAGCTCTTTTGTCAACTTTGAGCGGTAACTAACCTTTTTCGAATGAGGGCTATTTTCTCGGTAGTTTCACGAACTAGATCTGAGCCTAGCAAGGGTGAATCTCCCACTTCAGTTCAATATACCGGTGATCTACATGGACGCCCATACAATGCCTCGAAAGGTGGCATCTCGATGCTTGCTTGGTAGCTATTGTTGTACGCAAATTCAACTAAAGGTAGGTGTTTCTCCGAAGACCCTTTAAAATCTAGTACACATGCCCTCAACATGTCTTCCAAAATTTGAATAGTATGTTTGGATTGCCCATCGGTCTGGGGGTGGTAAGCAGTACTAAAATTTAGTTGCGTACCCAAGGCACTTTGAAGGCTCTGCCATAGCCTGGTAGTAAAGTGAGGGTCTCTATCAGACACTATGCTCACTGGTACTCCATGGAGACAAACAATCTCACGGATGTAAAGTTCAGCCAGAAACTCTGTGGAATCCTCCATGCTCATGGCGAGGAAGTGAGCGGACTTAGTAAGTCTATCAACAATCACCCACATTGCATCATTACTTCTTTGAGTTCTAGGAAGGCTAGAAACAAAGTCCATGTTGATGTGCTCCCACTTCCATTCAGCAATCGGAAAGAGGTTGTAGCAATCCCGTCGGTCTTTGGTGTTCAGCCTTAACCTGCTGACATGTCAAACACTTGGACACAGATGAGGCTACATCCTTTTTCATACCCCTCCACCAAAATTGATGACTTAGGTTATGGTATATTTTAGTGCCTTCGGGATGCACAGCTAGGTGGGAATGATGGAAGTTCCTCAAAACTTCATTTCTCATAGTTTCAGGTACAAACAATCGGTCGAGATAACGAACACTAGAATCTACATGAGTATTTAAACCCCTCTCTTCCTTCCCTTGAAGAATTCTCCCTTTACTTGCATCCACTTCTGGATCACCTAGTTGTGCCTCAACTACTCTTGCAACAAGGGTAGGTTGGGCGATGGTGGTGAAGAAGGTAGCCTTTTCTAGAGATTCACTGAGCTGTAATGCAAATTCATTGGCATCCTCCATCATCTTCCATTCCCTTATCGTTAGACTAGCCATTATACTTACCGATTTTCTACTCAAGGCATCTGCTACTGCATTAGCTTTACCGGGGTGGTAGTGTATTTCAAAATCATAGTTCTCTAGAAACTCTATCCATCTCCATTGGTGTAGATTCAAGTCTTTCTGGGAGAATAGGTATTTGAGGCTACGAACTTTTGAGGCGTTCTTAGGCAGCTCCCAATTTTGCACCGCTTCTATTTTTGAAGAATCCACCATAACTTCGTCTCCCGAAACTACGTGACCCAAGAACTTCACTTCGGAAAGCCAAAATTCACACTTCTCATATTTTGCGTACAAACGATGTTCCCTAAGAAGTTGCAAGATAGTGCGAAGATGCCCTTCATGCTCCTCTTCGGAAGGTGAATAGATAAGAATATCATCTAAAAAGACGAGCACAAATTTATCAAGAAACTCCCAAAAGACCCTATTCATTAAATCCATGAATGTGGCTGGGGCGTTAGTCAACCTAAAGGACATAACTAAGAACTCGTAATGACCATATCGGGTGCGAAAATTAGTTTTGGGAGTGTCCTCCTCTCTAACTCGAATTTGGTGAAAACCCAACCTTAAATCTATTTTGGAGAAACAATGAGAGCCTTTAAATTGATCGAAGAGATCATTTATCCTGGGCAAGGGGCATTTATTCTTAACTGTAGCTTGATTCAATTTATGATAATTTATATACAATCTTAAGGATCCGTCCTTCTTCTTTGCAAACAGCGCTGAGGCTCCCCAAGATGAGGTGCTAGGGCGTACAAAGCCCTTACTAAGTAACTCTTGCAACTGTTCCTTCAGAACCACCAATCCAGTTGGGCAAATCTGTATGGCGACAAGGAGATAGGTACCGTACCCGGAAGCAAGTCTATGGTGAACTCTACTTCCCTATAAGGAGGTACTTCTGTAAGATCGTCAGGAAAGACATCAAGGTATTCACATACTACCTTTGGAAATTTGCCCTGGACTATACCACTTCCATCATCCAAAAAAGTGGTTAAAAGAGAATTAAACTGGCCCCGGCCACGTGGATAGTATGAGGAGGGTAAGGATCTACCGTACTTGTCTCCCAAAAATGTGAAACGATCGCCGCTTGCAGTGCACACCGTAACTCTCTCATGATAACAATATATGGTCGCCCGGTAAGTAAACAACCAATCCATACCAAGGATAACGTCAAAACCCGACATTTCTAGCAGGACAAAATTAAATAGAAGTTGTCGACCCGTCACCTCAATTACGCACTCCTAACACCCTTGGGTCAGAATGACCTAACCTGCAACGGGTGACTCCACTGTAAGTGAAGAGTTGCCTATTATCTAACCCCAACAACGATACAAAAGATGTGGCAATAAATGAATGTGATGCTCTAGTGTCAATCAGCACATTAGCCTAGGTATTGAAGATGAGGAATGTACCTCTCACAATTGATGGCCCTGATGTTTGTTCAGAAGTGGTGACAGCGTACACTCTTCCCAGTGACCTCTGCTCCCTTACTTCACCTCTTTGAACATAAGCTTGTTGTATAGATTGAGTAGATGTGGTTCCCTGAATTGTCCTGGATGTTTGTCCTGACTGAGCCGGCTGCTAAGATTGCCTCTGTCCTTTACCCGTCTGTAAACCTCCTGACTGTCTAGACCCTGCTACACTCGGAGTCCCCACTTTCTGTGTGCAGAACTTCTTCAAATGTCCCGACTGACCACATAGATAACAAGATTGGGGCTGGCTCCTATTCTGAGATTGACCCTGTGGACGCATAGGTTGGGATCGTGCTCCATTTTTTTGTCCGCACTTTGCAGCCTTGTGACCTATCTGGCCACATCTATAACAGGCAACAGCAACTCGGGTCATACTTCCCGAACTTCCACTCATCACTGAACTAGAGGATTTGGCTTGGGGTGGAGGCGATTAAAAGGATGATGATGAACCCCTCAACCTCTTTGAAGAACTCGTGTCACCCCTAGCATCAGAATGTCCTACTCTCTTCAGTCTCTGTCTTGCCTCTTCGGCCTCTACAGTGATTTCCGCATGAGCTGCTGTTTCAACTAAATGGTCATAATCACGTATCATATTGCCAACCACCTTCATTAGGATATTTGGTCTCAACCTTTTCTCAAATTCAAGGCACCTTCGTTCTTCTGTTGCCACTAATTCAGGTACAAAACGTGATAGGCTAGTAAATTTGGCTTCAAACTCTGCCACTGGTGTATCTAATTGTAATAACTCCTCAAACTGCTTCCTCAACCGCTTCCTAGCCGCGGGAGGGAGGAATTTATCTTGGCAAGCTTGCGCAAATACTTCCCAAGTACGTTCAACCCTATTCTTTATGGATTTCCGCCATTGCCTGGCCTTCCCTTTCAAGTGGTAGGCCGCTAATGCCACCCGCAATTCATTTTCCGGAATGTCTAAGATCTCAAAGGACTTGACCAATTGCTCCAACCACTCGTTAGCTTTCATCGGATCAGGCTCGCTGTTATACTTGGAGGGATTGGATTGAAAGAACTCTTTTTTCAAAAAGGAAGCTCTTGTTTCTCCCTCAATTGTTCTAGCCACTTGCTCGACTCTCAATATCTCCATGGCCTCCCGTAGAGCCCTTGCCATTTCCCTAGCCAAGGTCCCCATAGCTTCTTGGGTAGATGGAACATGTATATTATTTTGACCTTGTAGACACCCTATTTTTGACCGACCTCAAGACTTCGACGTCATCGGTTGTGCACTCGATGATTGTGCATGTTTGTGCTTGTTTTGAGCGCTCAAAGATCTCGGCTGGGTGCCTTGTCTTTGAGCCTCTTAACACTTCACGTTTTGGCCTCGTTTTTGGGCCTCGTTTTTGGGGCAAACCTTGTGTCTCTTGCTTGGGGGGGAGGAGAAGCCTTGCCGGCCACTTGTGGCATGTGCTAGCCACTTTTCTCTCTTGTAGGCCACTTGAAGTGGCCGGCCGGCTAGGGGAAGTGGCCGGCAGGCCACCTTAACTGGCCGGCGGCCAATCTTTCTCCTTTTTAGATATTTTAAGATCTTTTGAGCCAGCTGTGGCTCACTGAGCTATCCTTCATACACGTGTATGGAGGGATGGAAACAAGCTTTAAGCTTATTAAGAAAGCTTTTGCTTGCATTGCCTATATAAGGGGAGGTCCCTCCCCCTTGTTTGGGGTTCACAAAAATCTCAAAGCTGAAATCTCTCTCTCTCTAGAATTCTCACTCTCTCTCTCCATATTGTGTGATATTGTGCCTTGAAGTGTGTTTTCTTCACATATTTGCACTAAAACACCTAGTCACACACCACTACCTTGGAGCTGAGGTTCTTGAAGGTTTGTTTGGAGCTCAAAAAGGTAGTTATTTGGCTTAGAAGTTGTTCTCTTGCTATTGTGCTTCAAGGGTGAGCATATTCCCTTTCTTAAGCTTATTTTTGTATACCATATTAGCCACCTTTGAATGCTGTTTTAGGCTTGGTTGTTAACTACAAAAGCTCTATTTTTAAGTGTTAAGAATGTTAGTTTGAACCCTTGTTGGGGTTAGGGGTGGTCTACCCTCTTTGGTTGCTTATTTGCTAAGCTTTTGTACCATCTTTTAAGGCTATCCAAACTATCTCTTTTTGGCCTTTTAACCATTGAATTCTAGAGGAATTTCAATGGTGGAAAGGTGGTTTTGAGGTCCCAAATGGGAGGGGGTGGTCCTTATAGACCGCCCAAACTTCCTCCGCGCGCCCCCCCTTTCGGAGAGGGCGTGGATTGGGTTCATGCTACTATAGTTCGGACTCCTATCACAGTTCTGAATCTAATCTCACAAAGTGCAATGTGAGACTAATAAACACCAAAGAAGCCCAATCCGGCAAATCATTTTGGAAAATTGATTTTAGGTCAAATAATGCCAAAACTGGACTGCTTTGCCAGATTACAGAGTCGCCACCTAAATATTTTATTTTGGAAAATTTAGGAAATCATGACTCGTGCCAAAGGCCACGTGTCTGTCATCACCAAAGTTTCCTTGGCTCGAGAGCTTGGGTACGAGAGAGGAAGGTCCTGAAATAAGCACCCCCGCTCGTCCGATCAAAGGATCAGCCTCTACTAAGCATGATATGTTGTTTTATAAACAAATGTGTTCTTATTCCGGTTATTAATCTAACTTACTATATGATGCGCACAGCATACAAGTATAGACTAAATCACTCAAATTGGAGCATCTCATGTTTGTTTTTGAAACAATGGTTTGAAAATGCTACTCGTAAGTAGACTAAAGCACAGATTTGCCACCCTCAAGTGGGCTTAAAACAACATAGTTTTGCCACCTCAAGTGGGCTTAAAACTCACATTTGATGAATTGTCCCAATTCAAGCAATGAAGCCTTCATCCATAGGCATTCATGCAGTTAAACACTTAAACAAATAGCCTCATGGCAAGCATGCTATCATAGCAACACTCACACTCATGCAAGTATGCTAAAGCGTAAAACTTACAGTGTACTCTGAGTCAAAACAGAAAACTAGTTAGAAATCAATACGTGATCCTAACTATACAAGATGCCTAATGCAACACATGCAATAATGCATTTAATAGGCTCGGCTATCTAATCATGACATATGAATGCAACACTTGATAACATGCTTTGAAACACGTATTCAAATATGTATTTAAATACAATGCAGTTTGAATGATGCGCCAAGTCCGGTGCATGCAAGACAAATGAATGATGCACGCATGCAAAGCATAAGGTATGCTAATTGAAATGTGCCCTAAAACTAACCATCGAAAGCAGTTAAATAAAAGGGAGAAAGAAGTGGGGGTGGAAGACATGCACACACACATGCACCCTTATTACAACATTATGCCCTCTCGACGGAGGGTCCGAATGAATAAGCTACGCTAATCTTAGCTAAGCTGAGCTAACTAATCTAATTAAACTAATTACACTAATTATTACAAATCAATAAAGAAATAGCTAAACTAAGCTACTTAATTATTACAACACTAAATTAATTAACAAATTAATCAAATTACAAATTCATGTTAACTAACAACAAAATGCATTAAACAATGCTGTCCCAGCTCTGTTGGAAATTAGGAGATGCATGCCTCTGTTCCCGTCCTAAAAAGCTCTCCAAATGCTCTTTAGAGGCTCTGTCTGCAAGGTGTCCTTAAGAACTTGCTGCTGAATCTTACCAAATCAAAGCTGGGGAGTGCACCAATGGCCTGTCGGCCATGGGCGCTTGCTGCCAGCCATCTGCCAGCCAGTGATGGGCTTCTGCCGGCCAACAATACAAGGGTGCCAGCCATCAATGTGGCACTGCCGACCACTGGTGTGCTATGACACCAAGCTACAACAGAGCACAAAATAGAGCAAAATGGAGGGTCTCCCAAGAACATGTACGTACTATGCCACTCCATATCACCTCAAAACATCAAGGGAGAGGCACCATTGGATCCAAAACCACCAATCAAGCATGCAATGCATGATGGCCAAAGATCCAACTTGCACACATTTCAATAAATGCCATGTAAACAAGACTCTAAATCCACTACTTCATCATAGATAATCAAAGGTAATGGAGACAAAGAGGATTGGTTCACTTTCATCACTTTGAGTATGAAGTGGACTAATCCACCTTGTGTTCAACATAACATCCGGTTGAACACCATACAAAGCAAGGAACATGCTATGCAAACAACATGCTAATCTTGACCTGTTAAGGTGGCATGCACAAGACTCTATCATGTAAGCAATGCATGCAAGACATGTTAAGGGGCCAAGAGCACTAAAGCATGTGAGGAACATTACACATGAGGCATGCACTATCAATCTGAAATGGTCAAACTAGCTATGGATAGACCTAAGATACTCCAAAATAGTGGCCAAAACACACTAAAAGTTAGGAACCAAAAGCAAGAAATGCATGCTCATATGATGGCTCGCAAACAAGGCACAAAGCTTAACTTTCAAACACATTGAAAGAGTGATATTTATGAGAGCATGACAGAGGTATAAGCACTGAAATCATATGCCAAATGATGACATATCATGCAAACAACACAAGTATAGCATGTTAGGGTCCTTAGAGCTCAAAGCTAGTCAAGGGCTTTACACAAAAGGCATGCAATACATGGCCTAAACAATCAAACCAGCTTTGGACAGAGCTCAACCATGCCAAATCAAATGCCAAAACATGCTGAAATGATAGCCCAAAAGCTTAGACGAACATGCATACAAGCTGGCTTAGGAGCAAGGCATAAGGCACATCTATCAAAATGCATTGAAAGAGTAGAACATGTGAGAGTGTGACTACACTATACACACTGAAGTCATGTATGAAATGAGGTTAAGATATGCAAACACCACAAGTAAAGCATGCAAGAGGCTTTGAAACTCAAAGCTAGTCAAGGCATTCACACTACAACCATGCACTACAAGTCTCACATGCCCAAGACCACTCAAAACTGAGCTAAGGCATGCTAGAATAATGGCAAAGACATGCTGAGCTAGAGCTAACACAAGCTAGGATGATAGGTATAAAGCATGAAGCATGTTTGGCCAACAAGTAGGATTACACTACAAGTATAAGATGCAAGCAACCAATGACCAAACCAACCAAAAATAGAGTTATGGTAGGTCCAAAAAGTTACAAAAACATGCTTAAACTAAGCCACAAAAGGATAGAAACACATGCTCATTTGGTGGGCCATCAACACATGCAAGCAAGACAAGAGGAGAGGGGACCACCCCCTTCTATTGGGGACCTCAAAATCACCTTTCCACAACTGAAATTTCTCTGGAATTCAGTGGTTAAAAGGCCAAAAATAGATAGTTTTAAAGGCCTTAAAAGATAGCACAAAGCTTAGCAAATAAGCTACAAAAAGGAGAAGAACACCTCTAACTCCAACAAGACCTTAAACAACCATTTTTAGCACTGAAAAATAGAAGTTTTTATAGTTGAAAGCTAAGCCAAAAGAAGCTTGAAAAGATGTCCAAACACTTGATCCAAATAAAGCTTAAATAGGGAAGACACTCACCCTTGAAGCACAACAGCAAGAGGACAACTTATGAGACAAAAACCAGCTTTTTGAGCTCCAAACAAACCTTCAAGAACCTCAGCTCCAAGGTAGTGGTGTGTGACTAGATGTTTTAGTGCAAATATGTGAAGAAAACACATTTTAAGGCACAATATCACACTATATATATATATATATATATATTGAGAGAGAGAGAGAGAGAGAGAGAGAGAGAGAGAGAGAGAGAGAGTAGTGGTTGTGGGTGAGTCGGTGACGGTGACGGGTGGTTGGGTGGTAGCAGTGGGTGTAGGTGGCGCGGCGGTGGTGTTGGTGGTGCAGGTGGGGTGGCGAATGATGGGTGTGGTGGGTAGCAGCAGTGTTGGTGGTGGGTGGGTGGTGAACGTGCGGGTGGTGGTGGTAGCGAGTCGGTGGTGGCGGTGGCGGGTGTGGGGTGGTGGTGAGTCTGGGTGAGCGGACTGGCGGTGGCAGGTGGGTGGTGGCAGTCAGTTAGGTGGCGGGTAGTAGTGGTGGGTGGGTGGGTGGGTGACGGTGGCGGTGTTAGGTGGTAGCGAGTGGGTGGTGGTGGTGTGGTGGCGGTAGCGGTGGTAGTAGTAGGCGGGTAGTGGGTGGTGGTGGCAGGTG